ATTTGAAGTCAAGGACTTGGGACAACTTAAATATTTTCTAGGGATGGAAGTTGCTCAGACAAAGAATGGTATTTATGTGTCACAAAGGAAATACACACTGGACTTACTTCAAGAAATCGGCATGCTTGGGTGCAAGGCAGCCAATACTCCCATAGAATTGGAAAAGAGAGGTAAAGAAGAAAGTCCACCAGCTGATAAAGATAGATATTAAAGCCTAATTGGGGAGCTAATCTACCTAACTCACACTAGGCCCGACATTAGGTTTGCTGTGAGCTTGGCTAGTCGCAACTGAGGCCCACATGAAAGCAAAGAACAGAATACTCCAATACCTCAAAGTACACCAGGTTAAGGGCTCTACTTCAAGAAGAACTCAAACAGAGGTATTGAAGTCCATACTGACTCAGATTGGGCAGGATATCCCCCTGATAGGAAATCAACTACAGGCTACTGCTCCTTTGTGTGGGAAAACTTGGTGACTTGGAGAAGTAAGAAGCAGCCTGTGGTGGAAAGGAGTAGTGTAGAAGCTGAATTCAGAGCTATGACTCAAGGTATTTTGAAGGAATCTGGCTTAAGAGGTTGCTGGATGAAATCATAATTCCTATCAATTACACTATGAGGATATTATGTGACAACAAAGCTGCTATAAGCATTGCAAAGAACCCAGTCCACCATGATAGGACAAAGCATGTGGAGATTGACCGAAACTTCATTAAAGAAAAAATTGACCATGGCATTATAAGAGTTGACCATGTTTTATCATGCAGACAAATAGCAAACATCCTGACAAAGTCTCTCCCAAGGAACACATATGAAAACATTAGATCCAATCGAGTATGATAGACATCTACCACCCAGATTGATGGGGAGTATTGGAGATCAGCGCATATCAATTAGAATCTGTTGGAGATCAGCCCATAATAGAATTTAATGTTAATAAGATCAGTTTTATTTCCTTATTTAGGTACAACATTTATAGGGAGAATTATTTCTCTGATTTTCAAGGATAGATTAAATGTACAGTTTTATTCCCTTGTATTCTATTTATACCTCTTTTGTATTTTTCCTAAATAAGAAAAATACACTTCATATTTTTCTGCAATTATTATGGATATTATTATTTTAATTTCCTATTACATTTTGTTTAATTAAATCTATAACTAGAGTTATGATAGATTCTCTGCATAATTCTATGTGTTCTTTGTGATTAATGATAATTTTAGTTTTCTTTCTTGGTTGGTGTTTATTCTATTGCACTATATTTATATATTCAAAATTAACAACTCTTAAACATATCATAATTAATTATATTATAGACAATCATACCACATATAATAATGAATTTATATGATAAATCAAAACAAAGAATTAGGTGAACCAAACTTAGTTCTTCTCTTTCCATTATTATTAAATTAATAGTTTATAAAATCTTTATATTTTTTCTTCTTTTTGTCTTGTATGATTAGAAAAAAAATATTAAACATTACATGACTATTAAATGTTAATAAATTTAGTACGAATAGTTCGTAATCATAAAAGAATCAAAATTAAAATTAATCTAAAAGTAAATATAAAAAAAGTGTAAAAGTGAAACTATACGTCCTAGAATTCATCTTGAATAGTTTATCATCATAAATTATACTATTTTTTTTATTTTTTAATTTCTTTTGAATTTAAATTCTTGATTTTAATTTTATATTTCTTAAGTTTAAATAATTGAATTAAGATATTTTTTATACTTAAAAATAATTTTTGTGAGATAATATTTAAAAACTTATTTTAAAATTATTTATTACTTTTTAATAAATATACTTGTTTACAAACAAATATCTCACAAGCTAATAAAATAATATTTACAATAACATTTTATTAACTTCAATATGAAAATTATTTTTTATTTTTAATTCTTATATATGTATAATTAATTTTTTTATTTATTTTCTTTTCCTATCATTATTTTTTATCTCCCTCTTTCTTTGGAACGTTTAAAGTATCATTTTCGTTTATCTATGCCTTCGAGAAGTCCATTGTGAGACATGGCTAGGTAGACAATGCTTACCTGTTAAGTTCTTTGGTGTTTGTTATTTACTCGCAATTTGGAATGGTTCTCTGCTCCCCACATCCAACTCGTCATACTTGGCTGCCAAGTTACGTTTGCTACCTTGAACCATAGTCACAATTTTAGGGCTCGATTAAGACAATCTGTCACAACAAAAAGTTACAGCAACATTGTTTTCTTTTTTCGGATCTTCTTATCCGTCCTTTCCTTCGACTTTCCTTTTTAAAAATTAATGAATAATTTTGAATTTTCTTATAATAGTTTCTCTTAAATAAATATAATTAATAATATCTTTAAAATATAAAATATATTTAATTTCTTCTTTAATCAGTAAATATGAAAATTTGTAGAAAAATATTATAACAGAATTTAAAATTATTCTTAATTAAATAATAACAATATATTTTTATCATTTTTATTATTGATTAGAGTTTATTTAGATTCACTAAATTATGTATAAAAAAATTAAATAAATCATAATTTATTTAAAATTTTGTGAGCCATAATAAATTTTAATTAATAATAAAAATTAACTAAAAATTATATTAACAAATATTTTGAAAATTATAATAAAAAAATATAAATAATATTTTTTATTAATCTATGATTTTTGCATTCAAATAGTTTTATTAAAAAAAACGTCTTCCTGCCCACTTATCTACTTTCTTGATTATATATAACTTAGATTTCGTTCTTTTCCAATTTTGTTTTCAAACCACGTGACCTTCCGGGAAATCAACCCTTTGACTAACCAGATAAACAAAACGTGCACGTGACTTGGAGCTCTTTGGAAGATAAACTAGATATTACTTTTGGCAAAGTCAAGAATAAAGAAATAATAATATTGCACATCCACTGTCTTTTATATTTTATTTATATTTTTATTACATAATTTATTTTTATATTTTTTTGTTTTTTTTCATTTATTATGTTTTTGCTTTTACATCCTTTACTTTTTATATTTCTTCATTTTACATTTATTTCATATCTTATGATAAGGTGTGAAATATCATTACTCTATGTGATACTTTTTCATATTAACTTTTCAAACATAAATATGATTTTTGAAATTAAACGATTAAAAATTTTAGGTACAAGTTCAATTTGATTCATAATATACTGTACTAAATTTCCACACAGTATACATGTACTATTAAATTAAAGTAAAATTTTAAAAAAATATTTTTAAATTTCATAAATTTTATAAGTTTTAAAACAAATATTTTACTATATTATACAAGATTGTGTTGAAAAGATAAAATTTTTAAAATTATATTACAAATAAATTTAAATTATAAAAGAATTCAAATTCATGTTAAGATTGAATTAAGAAAATAAATTTTAAATGCAAAAAAAAACCCATGACATAACAAAGAAAATAATAACTTTTAAAAAATTATCCTTTAAGATATACTTTTAAAAGAATACTCTAATTTAAAAATAATGACTCACATTTAATATATAAAAAAAATAAAATTAAAATATTAAAATAACATTTTTTATATTTTCTTTTCATTAAATAACAGAAATAATTGTTTAATTTTATATATTGAAAGGCCATCCAAGTCGCTTGTCACACAAGATGACATATCTCTCATCTTTTAAGAGTTCATTTTATTTTAAGCAAATTAAGTTTTTTTTTTTTTAATTTAAATTCTGTTACTCTCCTAATTCTTCTAGTGTTTCAAACTTTATATGTAATTTTTTAAAAAAATCATTGTAATTGCGACATACATCTAATTATACACGTCACAGACAAAGATCATCAACGTGACACATATAAATAAATATCATAGTTTTACTAAATAGTGTCAAGGATCACTTTTAAAAATTATGAACTTTGTAAAGAATAAAATCAATCAAATATTTTTAAACACAAACTGAAAAGTGACGTATTTAAAATTTTAGATTTGCTTGCTTTCTTTTGTTATATCAATGCGTAATACTTTATTTTATTTTAATTTAATTATCTTCAGAAGAATATATTTTCTCATCATAATTTTCGACATTGGCATTTTATTTTGAATTTCTACCGTAACTTTAAGATTTTAAAAATGAATTAAGATTTTTGGTGAAATTTCAAATATGATATATAGATATTTAAAAGAAAATAATTTAAAATCCTAAAATCAACATCTAAAATTAGTTGTTAATGACAATAAAAGTTGTAAAAAAAATTATTAGAAGGCCTTTTATATTATTATTATTATTGATACAAAAATTATTTAAATGGGAAAGTTCGAATTTGTCAGGTAAAAAAATTATTAATTTTAAATTTTATTTAAGTATTTTAAAAATAATTTTTGTCATATTTTTAACGATAATATATGTCTAAAAATCATGTCAATAATCATTTTAAAATACTCACCAATAATATAACATTTTTTCTGAACCACAAATATTTTTAACTAAATACAGTCATATTCATATCGCATTATTAATATATTAAAAAATGAGAAGTAAAGTTTTTTATTTGAATCCCAGGAAAATAAAATGTCACTGTTTGCTTGTGTGGCTGAGGCTGAGTTCTAGGTATTATAGATTCTTGGTGTTCGCCCGAAGCTTCGCAGTCATCCATGGCTGCGCATGACCAAACCGTTCATTCAAACACCAACTGCAAGGAATCAAAACGTAAGTATCAGTGTCACCATAATATCCATGCTTTAAATGGATCACATAATTACGGCTAATATATAAAATGAAAAGATTAACAAAATCAATATAACATTATGTATAATAAATATAAAATTAAATTAAAATAAATTTTAAAATCTTTTCTTATATTTAGCTGCATTAGAAATAAAATCACTAATATAATTTAAAATATGATGTTAATTATTAGAACACGACAAAAAAAAAAAAATGAGTGTGTGATCTGAAATTATGGTACAAAATTTTGTGGAGGACAAGTGTGTTGCATCCCTAATTCCCAGCGGAACCTTCTAAGCGTGCAGTTTCTAACTAGCTTCCGTTTCCACCCCCAACGCCTCTCTTTCTCGTCCTTTATTCACTTTCCCCGAAATTCACCTTGACTTTGCAACACCCCTTTCGTCCTTACCCTTTTATAAATACTTGCCCAACTTCGACCTTTCTAATTATACCCGTTACTGTTCTGTGCACAAATAAGCCATTGTGCGATATTATCATTTATGAAGATGCTTGGAGTTAGCAACCATGTCATGAAGGGGAAAAGGCACAGCAAAAGGAACAAAAAGGATGTCAAAGTGACTTACATTTCAAGCCCCATGAAGGTGAAGACTAGTGCTTCACAATTCAGGGAACTTGTGCAGGAACTCACTGGCCAATACTCCAATGTTGCGGAAATGTTCGTTGAGGCTAATAATGATGATGCTCATGATGCTGCTGTTCACAAGGGTTCCAGTAATCAACAATGGAGTGCTGATGATGCCTATTTGCTTGAGCCTAATTGGTTGAAACCTGGTTACAACGAGTTCCATTCTAGATCCTCATCGGAGCAACTAAATCGACAATTTCCGTATGAACTTTTCAGCTTTGATACGCTCTACTAGACTTATGTAATATGTAATAATGTACATAAGGTATATCGCAGATTGAAGGTCATCTTCGATATTTTTGAGTTTAAGAATTGTTCTTAAGAATGGATTTTATAATATACTTCGTTAAATTTATTATTAATTGATTAAAATTTATTATCGAGAGTAAAATTTATTAAAATAAAGTGAGAGCTGTATAAATTATTTTTTAACAAATTTTAATCGATAATAAATAATAAAAAGTTGTATTGAAGTATACGTTATTAATACTTCTCATTTCAGTTTTGATATGCTCTGTGAACACGAAATTTTTAAGTTGATGTTCTGCTTGCTGCCCTTTGGTCATATTAAACTATATATTTATCAGTTATGATATTTGAACAAGTAAAAATTGATGTTACATAATACTATACACAACTATTTTTAATTTATTTTTTCTCTATCATTTTCATTAACGTGTAAAAAAGAAAAAGTTATCCCTCAAAATTGTTTAAAACATATTATTGGTATACTAATTGCTTGGTGAATTGATTAGAAAAAATAAGGATCATGTCCATCAGTTAAATTCAATAAATAAGGATTTAGATGGTGAAGTGGAAGTAAAAAATTAATTGGTTTAATCTCAATTTTGATCCATATATTATTATAATGTATTTGTAATTTTGGTTTTATAATTTTAATTATTCAATTTAATTTCTCTAATGCTCAAATTAAGTTATTTATTTTTAAATTATTTATATTATTATATTTTTTTGTATTTTTATTTGAATGTTTTATATATTTATTTATTTATATAAATCAACAAAATACATACTTCTATTATATTTTTATTAATTATTGAATAAAATTTTAAGGTGAAGAATTTAATTTAAAAATAAATAAATAAATAAAACTCATGTATAGTCAATCTAAAGTTATTTTATACTAAGAGAGTACAATGAAACAAACAATACATGCACCAAGACAGAACATTAATTTAGCAAAAGTTGATAGAAATTAACATTATAATTACTTGATATATGAGACAAGCAACATTATTTATATGTTAATGGTCAATGTCAGGGAGACAAAAGAGGGTTTATAAATCATTCAAAAACCTCTTAAGTTTATAGTTACGAATTTTTTAATTTAAAAAATTATATTTTTTATTAACTATCATTTCTCATCCTTTCTCTTCTTCTCTTTCCAAGCTCTGAAGTCTTAAGTATAGTATACAATGATCTGTGTAATTTACATGTAGTGATCGATAAAAAATGACACAATTGTTTCATGTATTTATTTTAGTTACATTTCCCTTTCACTTTAGTTGTTGTCTACATAATTGATTGTATTAAAAAATTAAATCTAACTTAAAAGAATAAAGATTGTCTAAGCCTTCTAAGATGTATCTGTTCAAACTCAAGGACTAAATATATGTCAGTGAACCTACATTCAAATTGAATAGATTTTAATATCATATTTTAAAATTATGCTTAAGTCATTCTTAAAAACTAGTTTAAAGGAGTTACTCAGGCCTTATAAAAAATATTCTAATTATCTTTTCAAGTGAGGTAAAACATCTTAACATTGTGTGCCCTCAAATGCAATCATATAACTCATTAAATGAGAACTATAACATGCTTTAAAATGAAAGAGATCTATAATGTGTATTAAGATAACTTTTGTTTATACATGACTTTAAGCCTATATATAAATTATATTTTCTTTTATTCTCTTTTTTGTTCATCCAAACAAGCAAAGTAAATTTTTTTACTGCTTTATCCTCTTTTTCTATAACTAGAAAATCTTTCTTATATTTAACATTATAATTATCCTCCACATAATAATATTTTTCCTTTTTTTACTAAACATCAACATTTTATTAAAGGACAAAGTTAGAGTATAAGGGGTACTCTAACCCGTTACACCTCTAAAGGAAATTAACAATACATGTCAAGGGATCATTAATCCAATTCATAATCAATCTTTCTAAAGGCTTTGTTGCAAGTAGCTTCCAAGATACATATTCCAAGCATTTGGCCCAAGCTTTGATCCCTTCTTCCTCATTATCTTGCAAAGTGCATTCCTAACATTAATTCTTTCCTCACCTTAAAGGGAATCTAGTTTTTGACTCAATATGTGATTAGCCTTGTCTAACCCATGAGAATGTCTAATAATCAGGCTATTAGATTTGCTAATAAACTCTTTTTGTGTTACATCCTTGCCTTCGGTTGCTCCTTTATCAATAACACCAAGTTGGCATAATCCTTCATTAGCTCTCATGTGCCACCACTTCTCTTTCTCATAAGTTTCGACCAACAAAGGCCCACCTCAGTCAGCCTCCTTTCAAACGCATCCTCACCCAATCACACAACATCTACATAATAATTGAAAATCAAGTCATTATTGATATTCACTTCATAATTTGAATTTTTTCCCATTCGCGCATTTACTACGTTCTCCATGAAGTTTAATTCTATACTTTCAAACTCCTCTTGATATTATGCAATGTCTGACATGGAATCACGTAAAATTTGTCCCTGATAATCCACCCCTTGTTCCTCTCCTCCGTGCTCTCCACACCATCTTTGGTCACTATTTTTTGTTACGCTTCCTATCATTAGATCACAACCCTTCTCACCATCATCTGAACTTTCATCTTCCAAAGGGTCCAAATCCAATGAAGCATCGTCATAACTCTCCAACGCTGAAGCATTTAAATCATGATACCACTATCCTTCTTGAAAGAATTCTCCCTTATTTTTCTCGACCATCCGGATTGAGAACATGAGATCATTAACATGAATCCTTAAGTCTTCATTAATCAGTGAATGTGTTTAAGTCCATAGGTGAATTCTTACAAAATTCATACATCTTTGGGACGTCGTATCATCGTCCATGCACACAAAATCTCCTAGCGGTGACACCATCTTCCGAAAGAATGCCTCTGACCAAGCATGATATGGCACTCCGTACAAACGAATCCACGTTCTCCTATTAATAGCCACCATATGTGGATGCCACCAATCAATTATCAAGCCTGTATTATATATGTGTGTGTGCGTGTGTGTATTTTCTTTTAAAGATGATGTTGTAATCATTTAACTATGATGTCTTTGTATTTTGAATGCGATGTTGTATGTTAATAATGGGTTGAAATGACATGGATTTATCTATGTGTGAGTTATAGTTGCTGAGTATAGAACTAATACAAGTTGTGTGGATTGAATATATTTTGTTAGTGTAAAACTACAGGATATCTCGCTGTAACAAGAATAAGTCGTTTAGAACGATGCTCTCTAGAGCTCTCTCGCTGTAGCAAGAAGTAGATAAGATTAACTCAACTACCCTCTCGTTGTAGCGAGAGAGACCCTCACTATAGCAAGAGATGCTCGTTGTAGAGAAAATGACAGATAGTAAGAGAGATACATTGTTTGGTATATCTCGCTATAGCGAAAAGATCGCGTATTTAGGGGGTATTTTAGATGTTTTAAGCTAAAATTCCTCATTTTCCACACAAAATCATCTTCCTCTTGCGATTTTCTCTGTTCTTCCACCCTTCCCTTTTTGAGAAAAACCTTCTCAAAGCCTAACTTCTTCTCAATCCAAGTAAGAACGCCTATTTCATACAAGATCTAGGTAAGTTTTAAGAGCTTAGTTCTCCATCTTTACTCCTTATTTCCTTGATTTCTCTTCTCAAGAGCTTTATGTTTTGTAATGATAAGTATATATGAGTTCTTTGAGCATTATATACCTTTTTGGGGCTTACGAAAAGGAGTGATCTAGGAAAACATCGATTTTCAGGTAAGGGGAGCTTATTCTAAGTTATTGTGATTATCCATATAAATATTTGTGTGCGAATCTTGATATGCTAAGAATAAATCAATTTATGAGTAAACCTTAGGGTAGAACACAAGTATCTATGTGACCAATTATGAAAGTTGTATAATAACTTATATTATATTTTCATATCTTGTGATCATGATTGTTGATTTCTTAAGCTCACTCTTACATTTTCTGTCTGTGTTGGTGTGTTGTGTGCGTTGCGATGATCGTACGATGCTACGTGAGCAGACGTGACAAGTAATGCTTCCACTTCACATGCTGAGTGATAAACTGAGAAGTGATAGGAGTGGAGTGACATTCTTTTTGAATCAATAGTTTTTTTAAAAAAAATTTGTAATCTAGGCCTCAGTTATGAGACTGAGCTACTTAATTAAAGATTTGAATATGAGTTATAAATATTTAAAAATATGATAAATTTATACTTTTAGCTCCATACTGAGCAGTTTTTGTATATACCTATAAATTGTCAATAGATGATTATGGTTATTAATTTTATGAGAATGCTCTTGAGGCTTTACTCTGTCATTGAGATGTTGAGTTTTAATTTTTCTGTAATTCATATTGAATTGAATATTTTGATTGACTTTATTTTAGTGGATAAATTTGTACAATAGGCATATATATATATATATATATATATATATATTTTATGGAAGTGTCATGACATTTTAGTGGTATCAGAGCATAGTTTAGGTAAAACCTATAGGGTGAGGTTACTAGGTTTATATTGTGTATTTTAAGTAGTGAATCTTATCTGTAGATCATGTACTATAATTTATAATCATCAAGTTATGAGGGAAAGAGCTTGATCACCTCAGTTCTCTAACACGATAGATGTAGGAAATTTTGACATATGATGCTTGGGTGAGCTATAGGTACGTTATGTTGCATGGGCTATGTGTTGCTAAGCTGAGTTGTGATGAGTTGTTGAAGCAATTATGTCTCTTAGCTGTATTACTTGTAAATATTAATACTGTGTTGAATGAGTTGAATTGCCACGACATACATGATTTTAATGCATTAGGGTATTCTGTGTTTTTATGAATGAAGCTGTATTGCAGTGTGGTTAGTTGTGTTGATTTGTATATGTGCTATGCTTGGTAGTTTATCTGTGTAGCTGCATAATTAATTTTAAGATATGGCTGTTTATTAATGTTTTAAGTTGGTTTTGCTTTGTGTTAAGATGGAAAGTGTTCGGAGGGCAAGTGTACCCATTGAGAATTAATAAAGGGTTCTTAATTTAAGTTCCCGAAATATCGTCCCACAAGGATTGACTTCCAAT